CTGAAAAAGAGGCATTTCGAGAGGCCTATCTCTCATGGAGGAATTTCTCCACTCAAATCATGCATACTCTAAATGGTACCTTCCCTCATGGTTTATTCTCTTAGATCTAAATTCTCTCTCCATAAAGCTATAGCCATGTGGCTAAACCATTTGCTACTCTAACTTAATTTGTTTTATGTGTGATTCATTTCTCCCACTTGAAGTCTCACATGTCACCTCATAAATCTTACCATATCTACCAATTCTTCCCCTTCAAAACTCTCCGTGACCTTAAGGAGAGATGATGGGAATTCCGTCCTCATTTTGTCTCTTAATTTCCACGAGTTTTCAAAATCTGACAGGTTTTTTCACATCACTAAAACCACGACCTCCCCCTTATTCATTCCTCATAATATCCATCACTTTCTCAGGGGTAGGTTAAAGATTCCACTCCTCATTCATACAAGCTGGGAGAGGTTGAGGTTCCATAGCAGATGTGACAACTTTCTTTAATAGAGATGCATGGAAAATTGAATGTATGCTAGTGTCTTTCGACAATTTTAACTTGTAAGCCACTCCGCATATTTTTTCCAGTATCTCATAAGGTCCATAATATCTAAGGTTGGGTTTTTGATTCACTCTCATGGCTAATTTCTTCATCTTATAAGGTTGGATCTTCAACCACACCATATCCTCCACCTCATAGTCCACTTGTCTTCTATGCTTATTTGCTTGGCTTCTCATAACATCCCGAGTCTTAAGCAACTACTTATGCAATTCCTTGAGCATCATATTCCTTTTAGTTGTCAATTTATTGACCTCATTCACTGCTGAAAAAGGAGTGTCTCGCTTTATTAACACAAGTTAGCCTTTTCCATACAAAGCCTCAAAAGGAGTAGTCTTCAAGGAGGCATGATAATTGGTGTTATTTACCATTACCCTTCCCAAGCTAACCACTTAGGCCATTGTTTGAGTAAGCCAATCACACATCTTAAATAAGTTTTTAAGTATCTGTTCACTACTTTAGTTTGCTCATCTGATTGATGATGGTATGCACTGCTGTACTTTAACTTAGTGTCTGCCCGTTTAAACAATTTAGACAAAAAATTGCTTAATTTTTTTGGACTTAAATAGTCTTTTGGTTTCTGTAAGTTAGCGTGTTTTTGATTTTGGTCCCTGAATCTTTTATTTTTTTGGTCCGAGCCCCTAACAATTGTTTCCTTTTGTGATTACTCCCTAACATTAAACTTCCGTTACAAAAACAAGGATGTGCCTAACGTTGCTGATGCGACATCATTTCTTTTCATTTTCCATATATATTTTTTTAAATCTCCAGAGTTCCATGTAAGCGTTTTTTTTGTTTTAAATTTTATAAGGCAAAAATTCAAAACTTGGTCCCTAGAGGAATTAAACCCATGACACTGACAATTACAAGAGATTGTCTTTCCACTAGGCCACCCATTCCATTTGATTCTTACGTTACAATAATGATATATATTACTTAAGTGCTTCAGTATTTATACTTGCAGCCCTTATTTACACTAATTGATGTTTATGAAACAGGAGCATGATAATGATAATGACATGCTCTAGCTCCAACTCATCTTAAACCAACTTGACCTTGCATTCCATCTCTCCCATATTGTTGTCATAGGTGTATATACATGCATGAGTGTATATGTTTTTGGAAAATGCTTCACCACCATGCATACATAAAAATCACATTAGTACTTTGAGAAATTAAGATTTCAAATCTTACTTCAAAAACAAACATGAAGATGAAGCTTTAATGGAAGATGATGATGAAGATTGTGAGAGAAAGAGTAAATAATAAAGTTACATAATCAAATTATAAAAAATGATTATGGTTTGAAATGGTGGAACACTAAATAAACATACATGAATACCTTATAAACAAACACATATGTTCTCATCGATCTGAAAAAATTATGGGTTTGTATGAAGGTTGGGCATGAAAATATAAATTCAAACCCAGAATTAGGGACAAAAAAAAAGGTTTACGTGGACTAAAACAAAAAACGCGACAAAAATAATATTTAATCCAAAATTATAGGTTTGTGTTCATATCTTCATCCTAACCATCGCACAAACCCTGAATTTTTTCAAACCTAAAATTATTTCTTATTTATTCCTTGTTTTCTCTTTTCATAAAAATGATTTATCACACTTCTATCAAGACCAAAGACTACCACTATACAACAAAGATTCACCACCAATTCTATTAGGTGATGAAGCTTACAAATCCTTCTTTCATCAATAGAAACAAAACTAAATTAAATGAAACAGAGTAAAGTTATCAACTGAGAATATGAAACAAAGTAAAGTTACCATCTGAATATGTACCCATGGATGAATGTGAAGAGGAATGAGAAGAATACGGACTAGAGGAGAGGAAGAAGAATAAGTTCAAATTGCAAAATCATTTCATTTTTAGATTTAGTCCTCCTTCCCATTATCTAATAATATATATATATATATATATATATATATATATATATATATATATATATATATATATATATATATATATATATATATATATATATATATATATATATATATATATATATATATATATATATATATATATATATATATATATATATATATATATATATATATATATATATATATATATATATATATATATATATATATATATATATATTTGCTGCAAAATTCAATATTAATGAATTCGTTGATCTAGTGGTTAAAGATCACTTTAGTAATGTCAGGGTCACAAAAATGAGATATAAGAACTAAAAAAAAAGTACAGGGAGTGAAATTAGAAACTCGCTAACTTACAGGATCTAACAAACTATTTAAGCTAAAAAACTTTATCTCTGTTAGATGCTACGGAGCTTGGAAATCCATGTAATCTGACCACTTTCTAAATGAACAACTCATCAATTTCCTTTGGCTGTGTAAGGGTGGATGACAGGGAGAAAATGAGCATATTTTGTCACCCTATCCACTCCTACCATGACTGTATATACTCCTTGAACTTTAAGCAATCCTCCAATGAAATCCATGGATATCTCACTTCATATCTGTGTTGGTATTGGAAAAGGTTTGAGCAGTCCTCCAAGTGTCAATGTCTGATATTTGTTCCTCTGGCACACTTCACGAGCTTGCACATATTCCTGGATTTTCTTTCTCATGTCTTCCCAATACACCAGAATAATAATCCTTTTGTAAGTCCTCAAGTGTCCAGAATGTCCTTCTACAACCGTATCATGAAACTCATTGAGAATCCAAGCCACTCTTGGTGATTGCTTTGGAATTACTACTATCTTATCATGGTACAATCTCCCCCTTAAGCTGAAACCTTTTATGGCTATAAGAGTCTGATCTAGTACTTGCATAATAGCTTCTAACTTATCATCCTTTTGTATTTTATCTTTCAACCCTTCCCATGCTTCACACTGAATGGTTGTGATGTGAACATACTGTATTTTAATTAATATTCATTAACGTTTCAATCATGAACACATCAAAGTTATAGCATTGAAGTGAATTACTACTCATTATATTTTAGAATTTTTTCCTTTTCACAGTTCTCTGCTTAGCCTTTGTCCACGTGGATGAAAGTGGTATGAGTTTGACTTATGTTTATTCAAAGAAAACTCTATTTCATTTATGAGTTATGTGAGTTTGGTTTGGTATATACCAGTCGTAATCTCTGTTGGTTCTGCTTACAATCATTTACTCATCATAATTTCAATTCAATTGCGATCAAGATTTGTTATCCTACTTTAAAGACATTTAAACAAGTTTTGAAAAATACTTGTGACATACCTTAATACAACTATCCACACTTTGCTTAAAACGAGATGTGATAGTTATACGATTTTCAGAGAACGATATTGATATTAATAATATAGATAATTGTAAGAATATTTGTCATAAAATGATAAAATGTTGAAGAAAAGAGAATCTTCTCCAATAAGTGATGTATAGCATGGAAAACTAAATTCTCTTTAGAGTGTCTAGGAAAATGAAATTTCACACCTATTTGTAAAATTTTTTATTATTTTTATTTTCATCCATTGAGGACTTTAAAAGGGTTTTAGGAGGGTCTTGAGTCTCTCTTCAAGCATTCTTCTCTTATTTACCTAGATCTCAATTCAAATTTAGTGAAAAATACTGAAAGTCAATGTTGGGTTAAAATACATAGTATGCCTCTAGAATATTGAAGTCCACATATTTTTTCAATCACAAAAGATATTAGTAATAGTATTTCTCTTGTTTTAGACAAAACAACTAATAGCAAAACATTTAAATATTATGCAAGAATTTTAGTAGATCTTCATTTGTTATAATTCTTACCTAATTTGTTTCTCGTTGAAAAGTTAAGTTATCATTTTAATATTAATTTTACTGATATTATGTATAAACTAACTTGTTTCATTTTCTATTTTTGTCATTCTATTATTCGTTCATTTGAAAATTATTGTGCACAAAATAATCACATCAATGAAAAAAGATAAAGATAATCAGTACAATAAAATTTGATGAGGTAGCAAAAAATATTTAAAAAAATTTGTGAAAAAAATCTCACTTACAGTTAATGTAAAAAAAGAATATATTTTTTAATTTTTAATATAAAAAAATTTATTTTTTTAGATTTATTGAAGAATTAAAGTATCTAGATTATATAGTCTAAGTGTATAGATTTTTTCATAAATTAAAAATAAATTTATTCTAAAATTAGTAAATGAAAATAACGGAATATGTAAAGAGCATACATTGACAATATTTGACATACATATTTTTAGAATTAGTAACTCCTATTTTTTAACATTTCAATTTTAAAGTAGTGAGAATCTAGCTTAAACAATTATTGTTTTATCTTATTGATAGTATTTATAATAGCCATCCATTGATTGATGCAGAAAAAAGCATATCCAAAATTCCGATTTTCCATTCCACATTCAATACATTTTCCTCATAAAAATAGCACACACGTCATACAACACCCACAAATCCCACTCCCACAAATGTTGCAAACCACATGCAATCTACATGCAAATTCCAAACCATATAATACCAAAATCACTATCACACTAACACTTTCACCAAACCACTCCTTAAAACTCACGCCACCGCAAACCGCCACTCTCCGCCGATCAATGCCGACCGGCGACATCCGCTACACATCCCCACCCACGGCAACCAACAATTCCTCCCCTCTCCTCGGGTTCGAAGACGAAGGATGGCTATGGACTCAAATCAAAGCTGAAGCTCGCCGTGACGCCGAGTCGGAACCGGCGTTGGCGAGTTATCTGTACTCGACGATTCTTTCTCACTCCTCGCTTGAACGGTCGCTGTCGTTTCATCTTGGGAACAAGTTATGTTCGTCGACGCTTCTTTCGACTCTTCTGTATGATTTGTTTTTGAATGCTTTTGCGACTGACCCGTCTCTGAGTTTGGCCGCTGTTGCTGATCTTCGTGCTTACCGGGAACGTGACCCTGCGTGTATCTCTTACTCTCACTGTTTGCTCAATTACAAGGGATTTCTTGCTTGTCAGGTTTTCTTTTGTTCTTCAATTTTAGGGTTTTTTCATTCTTGACTAAACCCTAATTCTAAAATTTGGGGGTTTCGTTTTATTTGCTTTCAATATCATTTTTGAAAGTAACCGAGGGACTAATTTGATGGATTACATGTTTGATTATGATTCTTAAATTTCAGTTTTTTTTTTCTAACCCTAATTTTTCAATTTCAACCTGGGCATGTTTTTTTTTCTTGCAGGAATTGTATGTGACTGTGTGTTTGTCATTGTTTCAGGCGCACCGTGTGTCTCACCTGTTGTGGAGGCAGGCTCGGCGACCGTTAGCGTTGGCGCTACATTCTCGAGTTGCCGATGTATTTGCGGTGGATATTCACCCGGCAGCGAGAATCGGGAAAGGAGTTCTGTTTGACCATGCCACAGGTGTGGTGGTGGGTGAGACTGCGGTGATCGGAAATAATGTGTCGATTCTGCATCATGTGACACTAGGTGGGACTGGAAAGGCTGGTGGGGATAGGCATCCCAAAATTGGGGATGGAGTGCTCATTGGTGCTGGTGCTACCATTTTGGGAAATATTAAGATTGGGGAAGGAGCTAAGATAGGCGCTGGGTCTGTTGTTTTGATTGATGTGCCGCCACGGACCACTGCTGTTGGGAACCCGGCGAGATTGGTGGGTGGTAAAGAGAAGCCATCTAAGCTTGAGGATGTGCCTGGGGAATCAATGGACCATACTTCCTTTATCTCTGAGTGGTCTGATTATATCATTTGAGTTTCCAAGGTGAAGTGCTTGAAATCAAACACTTAACACTTGATGTTGGATTTGCATGGCTTTAGAACTAAATTTGCTTTTCCAATTTCAAGTGTTTTGATGTTTTGATCTTGTAATTGAACTGTTGTATTGAGATTTTGTAGTGACAAGTAGTCTAATAGTCATGAAACTATAATAAAAAGTGACCCTGTGAAGTGTAATAACAAGGCTATAATAAAATTTTGTGTTACTGTTTACTGTGCGGCATTGTGAGTGAAAATTTTGGTATTGAGCAATGTAATAAAAGGGGCTTCGGAATACAGAAGCTGACTTTGTTGATTATGTTACTAGGACTTGGAAAGAATTAGAAAGAACTATAAAGTGACATTAAAACCGAGGCGTTGTCTTGTAGAACTAGAATATTAAATTTTATCACGAGTTCTATCTTGCATAGAACTGTTTAATCTGATTTGTAGAATGTTGTGCTCACTTTTAATGTTTCAAGATTTAAGACAGATGACTTTAAGGCAGTCTATGTTGAGAGATCAGTTTCACATGCTTGATTAAGAAGCATAATGGGGTGTTATTATGTATTGTCCCCATGGTATATTTTTCCAATTCACTGCATCTTCTCTCTCATAATTGTGTGTGAATCTTTTGCTGATGCAACACCATTGATGATGAGGAAAGGGATAACACAGTGGTTTGCTGTCAAAAGAGAATGGACATAGTGGTACACTAGTGGAGATAGTTGGTGGTGCATGCCCTGCCTGTGGAGCTTGCAGTGTCATGATCTGGTGTGAAAGGTGCATAAAATTATTGAAGAGAAACAATGAATCAAAGGACTAACACTGGTCTCTCACGGCAAGAGGCACGAGCCAGTCTTTCAAGAGTCTAAAGGTAAGCTTTTGAAGATTTGATAGCAGTGTTGGTGCAATGTGCTAGAAGTTATCTGTGCTTGTTACTTTAGTTTCCGAACAGGGGATATAGCTAGGGATATGGCACTTTTCTCTTGTACTTTTGTTGGATAAAAGATGTCTTCAATATTAAACATGGGCCAAACTTGTTTTCTAACTAGTCACAAAAGAACCAGAGCCATTTGACCAAGAATTTTCCTTAGATCAGTAGGATCTGAATTCTGTAACCAGCAGTGGTTTATAAGGACTTTCGATTGGATAGCATCAAAATTTTGTATGAGGACTTCAACTTGGATACATGCTACCTTTATGATCCAAACAACAATATATTGGGTACCAAGACATATACAATACAGCATGTTGACATCATGTGAAAATTCAAGGCAGGATGCATACAATGTTGACTTGTAGAACTTATTTGGATAAAACTTGTATGCAGCTTATAGCATAGCATTTGTGCTTAAAAGAGATGAAATATCAAAATATACTCACTAAGATATATACATTACACAATTAACACAAGTGTTTAGATACCCAAAAAAAAAAGTATGAATGAAATTTATTAAATACTTGCAAGGATTTGTACTCAAATTGCTCTTTTAATCATGCCAATAAATTATTAGAGAATCATGTACATCTTTATTTGTAAATTAAAAAATTCAGAAGACACCAACCACATCATGTATATCAAAGAAGAGGATTTATAAATTATAATTCAAAAAAAGAGAAAGATAGAAGAAAAACCGAGATTTTTTTAAAAAATAACCTAATAATTCAATTAAAATACTAAAATAACTTAGTTTTCAAAAAAATTCTCAAAGTAGCATACTTTCAACCTTGATGCGCCATATGATATGGTGACACCATTGAAATAAAAAATGAAAAGAATTGATGCGTCATATAATATGACGACACAATTAAAATGTGCCATAATGTTTCAGAGGAGGCGCCATATGATATAACGCCTCAGTTCATTTATTTTTTTTAATTTAATGAAAAAAATTAAAATAATCTAAAGAAAAATTAAATAACAATATTTACAATATAAAAAAGCGTACAAAAAAAAATTCAATGACCGACCCTATCAAAACGTCTACCGGTTCCATATCTCAGTGCATTTGCGCGGCGTCGAGGTCTATCACGATTTTGTTGAGGTGTTTCTGGCCTTTGCGTGTTGATTTGTGGAAGATGTATTTGTTGAGATGGCCCCGACGTATTAGACAAATTTTGAAGCATCTGTCCCCAATAGCCGGGGGTGGGGGTGGGTGCTGCCAACGACGCTTCTGTAATTCAATTTCATGTCCATGTTTTCGTAGTTGGGACGGGGGTGTTGAGTTGGGTGTGGACAGTATGGTTGGCCGAATTGGTACATCGAATCGTTTTGAAAACGATGCAAGGGTTGTTGTGGGGTTTGATAGTCAAATAGTAGTTGAATATTTTGGTGGTAGGACGATTGTGTATTCATTTGTGAGGGGCTATAGTGGGCTGAGGTGAGGTCGAAAGCGTTATCAGGGCTATAGGTAGATGTGGTGTCGGTGTCGGGAGGTTGGCGGTAAGGGTAAAGATTCTTATTGTTGTAATTGGGTGGGTGACATGAATGAGTTGCGGTTCTGGAAGATTGATTGGGTGGCCATATGGTATGGTTGTTGGGTATAACATGGTGTTTGATGTTGGGCATGTGTTTGTTGCTAATAGACACCCATCAATCGAGAGTGCATATAAGAATCTTGATAACAGTTGGCAGGATCCTCCCTCAACCCATGTGTATTGCATAAGAGACATCGCTCAAAATTTCATGCGGAAGATCAAGGACAAAACACTACAGAAGAAGGTTGTGAATGCAGGATATGCACTAACAGACCCTACTTTCAAACACTACCGTGACGAGATCAGACTGACAAAAGCAAATGCATTAAGATAGATCAATAATATTCAACTAGAGAAATGGACAAGGGCATACGACAATGGCCAGGGACGGGACCACATGACAACAAATTTTGTTGAATCAATGAACTCTGTATTCAAAGGCATCCGAAACCTACCGATAACCGCTTTGGTAAGGGCAACATATTTTAGGCTCGAAGCACTTTTTGATATCAGACGTACAAAGTGGGGTTCTTCCTTACAATCTGGGCAGCTGTTCAGTAATAATTCAATGTCATGAAGCACAAAGCTACCAAAGCCAAAACACATGTGGTCATAGTTTTTGACCATAATAAAGGTTGGTTCAATGTTGCAGAGTCAATTGATCATAACGAAGGGAGGCATATGAGATGTTATCGAGTGGAACTAGATAGAAGTTAGTGTGATTGTGGAATGTTTCACGCATTTCGTATGCCTTGCTCCCATGTTATAGCAGCATGTTTGAAGGCTCGCCAGGACCTAACCAACTATCTTTCTATTGTTCACCAAGTCATTAGCCTATGCAATGTCTACAACACTAGATTTCACGTGGTAGCAAAGGAGGACTATTGGCCTTCATACGAAGGCGAAATTGACTAGCATAATGATTTGATGCCGAAGAAAGAAAAAGGGTCGCCCTAATAGCACGCGTGTTCAAACGGAGATGGATACGACAAACAAAATGGTTAGATTATGTAGTTCGTGCCGTCAGCCCAGAAACAATCGTACAAAATGTCCCAATATAGGATAAAACACAAGATCATAGTTTCAAATGTAACCATGCCTCTTTATATCAACAATAAATTTCATTCCATTGATAGCATAGCTAAGCGATTACAATAAACAATGACATAACTTAAACAAATATAACTTAATATCTCAACAACAACAACTAACAACGACATTACCTAATACCAAAAGTTTTCACCATTCGCAACAATCGAAAAATAACAACAATGTACCCAAATAAAACAACTCAATGCATCAACTTATCTAGGATATTACAACCATTAAGATAATTTTCTTTGGTGTTAACATCATCATAAGGACACCGACATCATTTTCCACTTTTCTCCAAGCACGAGTAACTCCATTTGGGCCTGACTCCTCAACTATCCTCTCAATTTTCCTGATCTTTTCACCTGCAGCAATATCTCATTCTAGTCAGTGGTTCAGCTCCCTATGCAAATGCTCCAAGGTCTGCGTGTTCCAGAATAAGAGATTCATCGAAGGCTTTATTGCTGAAAAATAAACTATGACATTTCTTTTCATAAGTGGAAATGTTGGAAGCGGTTCCTCTGATGATGATGATGATGATGAACGTTGATTTAAGAATGCAGACATGCTTTTAGATTGAGTTGAAAATATTGATGATAATTGTTGTGGAGAGTTAAAGATATTGGTGATAATTGTTGTGGAGTAACAAATGAGGACACACTCTTATTTATAGAAAAATGAAATAATGTAGTAGCCATATCGTATGACATATCTACCCTTTAAAAAACACCGTTTTAATTAAAAAAAAAAAAACACATCAAATATGACTTTTAAAAAAAAAGAATGAATTGAGGCTCTATATCCTCTTAAACATTAGGACAAATTTTAATGCTGTCGCCATATCATATGGCGCATAAATTCATAGAAATTTCAATTTTAATGCTGTCGACATATCATATGCACCAATTTTTTTTTTTTGAAAACTAAGTTATTTTGATATTTTAATTGAATTATTAAGTTATTTAAAAAAAAATTCAAAAACCGAAGCATGTATAAAATTTGTATATTATGGTGTTTTAAAAGATTAAAAAAAAAGAAGACAATTTACAGAGGACCATAGACTATGATGGTCAATTAAAATTATTATTATTCTAAAATGAGTTATTCTTAATTGATTAAATATTTAATTAATTATTTACTAAAAAAACTGGTCAACCTTATAATTAAAATTGATCCCGAGTTAATTAAGTCTCATAATTAATAATTAACTAAAAACATGTGCCACATAATAATATTAAAACCAAATAAAATATTCCAACAAGAGAAGAAATTAAAGTAATTATAAAAGTGCTTCACTTTCATAAATGAGAAGAAGAAGAAAAAAAGAGTATAACATGTTTTATTATTGGAATGGTGGAGATTAACTGAAATACCGTAAGTGTAGTTAATCTAAATCTTTACACTAAATTTAGCTGATTTTACCAT